GGACATGACATGGTTAATAAAGAAGGTATGATATATAAAGAGGCAATGGCCTGCTGCGTCAGATATTTTATTGATATCAATGTTTCTTGCAGTCTTTAGGTTGGCATGTTTGCAATAATTTAAAAGCTGCAGAAGTAAAGGCTGAGAAATTTTGAAAGAGGGCAAAAGGTGAAGAAGCGGATGAGCTGGATGTGTATATAAGCCAATGTGTATTTGTTAAACACAACGAATCCAGAGGAAAACAAAGTGGTATAATGGTCAGAGTCTAACCAGCAAGGAGGATAAAAAGTGGATGAGCGACTCTTCAGTGAAATGACATGAGTTGGTAATGAAAACCAATGTTTTAAATATTTATGTTTTTGCTTCGTGCATGTATAATTTGTAGGCAGTATTAGTGGTACAAAAAAAAACGTAAACATTCTATGTAGAAGTGAAGGATTAATTGAATTATATAATAAGGAATGGGAAAAAGCTAAATTGGTTTAAGGAAGAATAACAAGAAAGAATAGGACAAAAGAAATACAGCTTAATAGATAGTTGACAGGCAATGAAGACAATCATCTGACGTAGCAGATGCAAATGGTTAAAAGAGCTGCTTCATTTACATGTTCAAATAAAAGAAGAAAATGCATGGAGACAGGTATAACCCCCAAAATGAAGTTTGCAAAAGAGAACAGGTTGGATAATTAACAGACAGCATTTGTCCCAGCAGAGTAAAAATGAGCAGCCACGATTTACAAAAAACCAAAAATATTAAGTCTATTTCTTGAACATTGCAATGGTTATTCTAATCTTGCTTTCTTTGCAGAGTCGTCTTCAGTAGATTCTGGCTGAATCAGCTGTGACGGTGTCGAATCACTTGTCTCGCTTTCATTAAATTTGCTAAGAAGAGAAAGCTTTCTTTTTGATGAAGAAGCGACTGCATGTTAAAAGGAATACTAAAATTTAAATATGGGAGAAAGATGAGAATTAGGGGGAAAAAAAATATAGCGATAAAGAACAAAAGTATACCCTCAGCAATGGCTTTAGGAGAGTCAATATCGGTGCAGGTCAGTGGAAACACACTACTTTCATGAGGAATAACTTCTTGCTCACTTTGATACTCTGATACTTCGCAACAATATATAATAGTATATCGTTGCTTTGCATCTGCAAGCTGACTCTGAACAGGTTTCAGATGTGCAACAAACCACTTTGTTTTCAAAGATTCATGGACATGATCAAGCTTCAGCTCTATGTTCTGGAAAAATTGCATAAACAGAATAGCGAACAAGATGACATTAATAAGGCGAAAAGAGTGCATGGCTTCATGGCAAATACAATGCAGAGGTAACAGAGATACCTGATCAAAATGATTCATTACGTCAGCAGCGGTGAAGGTAAGGAGTTTTTCAGCCAGATCTCCAAATATGGAAGCTGTCACGGTGCCAGTTTCATCTTCCAAATCAGTGTCAAAGCGGCATCTATACAGGGAGATCAGGTATATAGACAATGTTGTAAGGTAAAAGGGGAAAGAATAGAGATATTATTTATCAAAGACATTAAAATATATAAAAGGAAACAGATAAATTGAGGTGAAGGCTTGTTATTGTGTAACAGCTCACCTTGGCTGAGCTTCGTGTTTTCCCTTACACGAATTACAGAGGAAAGTAACTCTGTGCATTGCTGATGTAGAGCGAAAACACTCACTGCAGGCCATATACCAGTATTTTTGAAAAATGTGTTCGAAAGAGAATCTAACTTTCACCCATGCTGCCTGAAAGAGCACGGTGAACCATCATTAGGCCGAGAAGCATATGGATAAATAATGATGGGAAAAATGTACTTGCACTATACCTTCTGCATCCCTGTGAGATTGCAAACGTTAGTAAATTTTTGGTTTGGCTGAAGCGAGAGGTTTGGATTATAATTGTCGTATAGTTTCCGGTAAACTATATTCAAAAGAAGGTTCTCATTTCTCACCGCCCTGTTGCAAAAAATGGTAGATAAGATTCAAACATGGGGGAAAAAACAGAGTATGCATAGTGAAAGATAAGAAACACATGTTCATGAGGGTACCAATTTTTTAGCTCTCTAGCTTCTTGGATAGGTGGATCAACAAGAATAACAGAGTCAAACCACGTAGATAAAGCCACACCTAAAAGAAAAGTTTATGCATGACTGATGGAAAAAGAAGCAGAGAAAAAAAAGATAACAGATAGCTACTGAGAAAGTCTTTGCTATGGACCATTATAACAGCCAACTTTGATTCTTCTGCATATAACAACAGGGAACTTATGCATGCTTTGTATCAATTTCTGGCCTTCATCATTCACAAAGGCATCCCACATGGAGAGCTTAACAGTTTGAAAACTGGTTTACAGACAGAGCAATAGATCAGTTAAAGCAGAAACTGCAAAAGTTCAATATAAGAAATGATTATAAATAAGAGAAGCTCATACTCTTCATTAACAAGGACAAACTTCTGAACAATGGATTCTCTACCATCCTTGTTTACATGTTTCTGGTCCATTGCAGATATAACAACAGCCAAGATATCTATTTTAAAAGAAGAAACTGTAAACAGAGGTTATGAAAGAAAAGAAAGACTGCACACAGATATATTTTAAACAAAGAAACGCACCTACAGACTGATCTTTATGATCCATGTATTTGATTAGATCAGTAAATTTGGTATAGTTGAGCTTCACAGGCACAGTATCTTCATCATCAATGACCTCTTCAACAAGTGTCTTGGTGGATATAACCCATTGTGTGTGCAGACCTTTAGATTGGAATTTTGGAGGGATTGGTCTGACAACAGCATTCGAGATAAGATATTTTTTATACACTTGTAGAAGAGGGCTCATTCTAGGGATATCATTATTAAAAATGATTCCTTCAACCAGAGATCCCTATTAAAATACAGAAGAGGTATTAATTTCATCCGAAGCAATAAGCTGTTGTAAGGGAAGGAAAAGAATGGAGCGAGAAAGGTTCTGAAAGCTGTAGCTGATAAATCAGAACATAAGCATTAGAGACTTTCTCAACTGAAGCTATTCTTGTTTAAGCAGGGAACTAAGATAGTGAATTGCCTAGTTATGTACCTCTGAGTCCAGAAAAACAAATTTCTATTTTTTTGTTGGAGTACCAATCGATGATGTAACATGCTGTTTTTCTTGAACTGTGACCCTGCATGTCCATTTTTGCATGGCAGGAAGAATGGCTTTCATTGGAAGAGTTTGTGACATCCTAAAGGGAAAAAGGAGAATGGATCCGAAGAGATGAATACGAAACAAAGAAGACAGAAGGCATGAGAATGAAACTGAGAAAAGCAATAATTACAAGTGGCAAATATTTCGTATAAACTCACCTTGTCAGAGAGATGTCACATTCTAGCTAAATGAAACACTTCACTAAAAACAACATTTCTTGTTTTGTTATCGATTTTGATATCGTCAAAAGTTCCGGGAACAAGCAAAATTTTAACTGTATCAGGAGTCCTTGCTCTAGATAGTGCAACATAAAGCTGACCATGAGAAAAAACAGGCTCGCGTAGATAAATTCCAACATAATCCAAAGTCTGGCCTTGAGACTTGTTAATTGTCATGGCGAAACATAGCCGGATGGGGAACTGGGTTCTTATGAAAGGAATACCATGTTTTTCATTGTCAGAGGTTTGTAGAGGAATTCTGGGAATGAAAACTCGCTTCCCTTTGTGCTGTCCAAACACAATTTCAGCACAGATGGTATGCCGGCGTAATTCCCTACATATAAGCCTTGTGCCATTACATAGGCCTTCAGCAGGGTTCAAGTTTCTGAGAAGCATGATAGGACAGTTTTCTTTAAGCAATAGATTATGTGGAGGGAGTCCCTTTGGATTTTGACTATGTAGGAAGTCTTCATAATCTCCTTGAAACCTTTGATTGACAGTTTTATCTGAACTTACATAGGTATAAAGCTTGCCTGGAAATTTTTCAATCATCACCTCATTAAGTTCATCAACAGAGCTGTTTCTAGGAGAAAGGATGCATCTGTTGATCATTTGATAAGGATCAGCTGAATAAAGATTCAGGTCTGGGAAAACAAAATGTATTAATCTGCATTTAACATCGATGATTTTCCAGTCAAAAAAACAAAACATACGAGCTATAAGTCATTGAAAGAAAAAATAGGCGATAGATATCGGAATAACCTGGCCAAGGACTCGTGTTTGTCATGATAGGGAATTACTAAGTGAGAAGGAAGCAATATATCTGCATTTTCGTCAACAGGCTCTCGGCCTTCACCAATACGTAACAAAAAATCAGAAAAGGCTGGGTTCAAAATAGCTCGCATGTTTGCTCTCAATGTCAACTTGTGCATAGACAACCACAATGGTGAACTAACAAGGCTTGATTCTATCAAATCCTGTTTAGAAGCCTGTTCAATAACTGGTAGAGTCTGTCGAAAGTCTCCACCAAAAACAACAACATGGCCACCAAAGGGCAGATCAGAATCTTTCAAGTCCTGAAGCAAATCGTTGAAGGCTTCAATCGTTTGTCTCTTAGCCATGGATGCTTCGTCCCAAAGGATCAATTTAGATTCACAAATCAACTTAGCTACACTGCTCTGTTTGCTGAGCTGGCAAGTTTTACTCTTTGTGAAATCCAAAGGAATTTTAAACCTAGAGTGTGTCGTTCTTCCTCCAGGAAGAATCGATGCTGCAACACCAGAGGTAGCAACAGCAATTGCAATGTAACCTTGTGACCTTAAAGCAGACAGTAGCGACCGATATAGGAAAGTCTTTCCGGTTCCACCAGGGCTGTCAATAAAGAAGGCTCTGCCTTCTGAAGAGAACACCGAGTGTAAAATTAAATCAAATGCATGTCACTGTTCAGCGTTCAACTTCGAAGGCAGTAATATATCCTCAGGATCAACCACAATGTTCCTCTCACTATCTACTTCTCTGGTGATCCGTTCAGGAGCAGCAAAGGAATCAGTAACTATGTGAAACTCATTCAGACTCTTACCCATCTGTACTAATGACTTATTAATGTCTTCCAGAACTTAGTATACTTAGTATACTTTTGAGCATGAATATAATCTGCCGAGAGGTCCTTTTGAAACCTAGTCCACAAGAGTTTAGGATCAGTGGGAGAGCAGTAGAATAGGAGAGTAGCAAATAATAACCGCAATGATGATGGCATCTGAAAGGCTACAGCTTCCTCTAGAGTTTCTTGTATGTAGTTATTAGATTCTAACAAACCCAGCCTAAGAGCAGCTTCTCTAAAGGAGTTCATCCGTTCACCGCTAACAGTTAAAAGATGATCAAATGACGTTGGGCCACGAACATGACATAACAAAAGGCGCAAAAAATAGCGCTCACCTTCCTTTGGATTTGCCGTAACTAATCTCCCTATTGCTCGGCAACGCTCCCTTTCGGACCATGATTTTGTTTTAGGAGTCCACACGAAATGTTCTGGAAATTCCCTATACAAACATTTTAAGGTCTGTGCCTTTGCATTTGACTTGTTTGTATTAAAAAATTCAGTCAGCATCGTCCTAGAGAAATCGATATTTTTGAGCAAGTAGTTCAAATCTGAATTACTGTCAAAAGAAATGGGCTGCTGAGCAGGAAGTTGGACTTGAAGAGTATAAACGGATGGAGTCATTTCACTAAGGCGGAATTCATAGATTCGCCATAATGCTTCCGGTGGAGATATCCACCTAGCTTTCTGAAAATTATTGATTTCGTCAACATCAGCAGAAGAAGGCTGATCGATGACCTGAAAACTGATAAGATCAGGTCCTTTGAAGACATATTTATAAAGGTATTTGACAAGCTTGATAGTAGAACATATTTCCACATTCATATGGCAATCGATCAAAGCAAGGAGGTATCGATTATGAGGTATAACCCATCGATTATCCAATTCGTGCCGACGAACTTTCACCTTTCTACCATCATCCCTCCTTCTATAACACGGGTAAGAATCTTCGGCATGAATAGTATGGTCAGAAAAATCTTTTGGATAATGGCTTTTACAAGAACCATTTTTCATGCAAGGGCAACTCCTATTCATATCTCCACAGGGACCGTGAAGCATATGTTTAACAACGAGAGAGTACAAGTGCTGATGCTCTTTTGGATCAGGAAGTTCAGCACAAACAATTTTATCATACGATTCAGCATTTAATAATTTGAACTCAGGCTTAAGAATCAAAAGGACATGAGCATGAGGAAAGCCGCGCTTCTGAAATTCGATAGCATAGACACACGCTGCAACCTCTCCAAAAATGTGTTTGTGCAGAAGTTCATTCTTGACCACTTCAAATTTAGCTCTAAAAACTCTAGACAATAAATCAGGCCTATCCTGCGGCTTTTCTGTATATTGCAAACTTTCCTGAATTTCCTTCCACATTGGATTGCATGTCATGGTCAAAAAAATGTCAGGCTTTCCATATTTCTGAACCAAAGCCATTGCATCCAAATATCTGCGTTTCATGTCCCTCGGACCCCCAATAAAAGAAGCAGGTAAAATGGTCCTTCGACCAACTTTAGAACCCTGCGTCTGACCAATAGCAATGCTATCTAAAACCCCTTGGAGAATTTCAGTACGTATTGCATTTTTTTTTTTCTGTGAAAGTCAAGTCTAGACGTCTCAATCTTAATATAAGAACCCACGACAAACTGTTGAAACAATCTAAGGGTGTGCAGCAGCATAGATGTATCATCATCTCTCACTTGGAACTTGTAACAATAATATTCTCTAGCAGACACAAAATAGTCCTCACTCCAACCCTTGTCAGCAACTAAAAAGAATAAACATATAGACATAATGAGGAAAAAATGTACACCTGATGGATAAATGGATTAAAAAAAAGGCAAGGGAAAAATAAACATGCCTCTTTGTTCCAACTCTAACAGCTGTGATGGAGTATCTATGGAGGAAAGATCAACAGATTGGTTGATGGCAGACAAATTCCCCTTTTTCTCCTTCTTATGAAAGCGCTTAATTCCATAATGCCACCCAGATTCACCTCTAGGAAAGAGGAGAGGGTACTGCAAAGAATCACAGCATCCATAATAAGGCTGAACTCTATAACTCGTGCTAGAGTGACTATAGACTTGAATGTGAGGGCGCATATCAACTGAATCATCATCAATTTCAGTCCAAATAGCAGCAACTTGGGATGCAGTAGGAAGATTATATACTCGCTGGTCTAAGGCAGGATTAGAATTGAGAATAATTGTATGATCCTCAAGATTTGGAAGATCCCTTAAGCTCTTAAAGAATTTTGCATAAGGATTATCTTGGAGTATACTCATAAGCAGCTTCAAAGTACCCTCACGAAGCTTATCACAGTTTTTAGTCCTCCTCTTTAATTCTTCATCAGTATCATAAAAGTATAACTGAATTCCACTAGGTTGATCACCGTTTGACAACAAAGAGTTCAAAAAGTGATAAACCTGACCCTGAACTCGAAACGTATACACTCCATGCTTGTTTTTTGTTAATTCCCTGTCATATTTTGCAGCATACGATGTAAAAGCAACATTATTATTATACGTGCGGGCTTTTCTCCGAAAGTCCTCGCATTCCTCATTAGAACCAGTAAATAATCGCTTCAGACTGTAAGGCATGGGAGGAGAGACAATTTTAACCTCGCCGCCACGGCAACAAAAAGAAGGAGGCTCCATGTGAAACCTCTTAGCACCGCAATGTTCACAAGCTGGAACATTGGGGAGGATAAGAGATTCCTCAGGGATTTTTTCCAGCCTACAAAGTTTCGAACGGCTACGGCGACGAGAGGGAGCTGTAATTTCACAGCGAAAAGCTATCATGGCTAGAGAACTGGAGCCAAGGATAACAGTAAAAAAGAATTAAAAGAACAAAGGGTACGGGAGGTTACGACCAAATAAATAGAAACATAAAATGGTATGAACCATTAGTAGCAAAAGCTAAATAATAGATGCAGGCTTCGGGACAGCTACACTGGATAGCCACGAAGGAACCAGGATTAGGAAAATTGGCTGAATAATAATATTACCACGAGACAAAGCAGATGAAGGCAAACTTTCTGGTCCAACACGAGGAGATAGCTGCCTAGTAGAGCAGAACTGGGCATCAGCTGTATGATGCACAGCACTGCAAAGTTGATTCTGGCAACCAGAGTGCAGATAAGGAGGAGGTGTTTGAGTAAAAAGGTGGCAAATCTCCGCCTGATAAATAGACGGCTGAAGTATGTCGTTGGTGGCAGATGCTGAGTCCATGTGCTGTTCTGCAGCATTAACCACCAACCGAGACAGGAGAGTACACAATAAGCAAATGTAAAGTTGAAGGAATAGAAAACAAGTGCCTCAAACGAGTAGAAAAAGTTTAACTTGTACCACCAGGAGAAGAAGATGGAAATTGAAGGTGTAGGCCAGTAGAGAAGGAGGTTTCATGCTGGCGATTTAATGCAGGAAATCCACCATTAAGATAGCAACGTGATCGTAGAATATCCCCAGCGTCCCGACCACTAAGCGCAGGAATACCTAAATTACTTAGCGCGGGCGGCAAATTTGGATTTGACCGGCCATAATACGTACTATTGACATGTTGGAAAGGACCACTGGGGAAAACACAACTGAGAGAGGTCCCAGCATTAAGTTGGCTACTCTCGACCTCAGCAAGAAGTGAGGTAGTTTCGCGACCAGCAACAGGAATAGAAAGCCTCTGTTTTTTTGCAGAATTAGCATCACGACGACGGCGCAAAAGGTCAGCCTTTTCATGCTGCGGCATTTTCGCATACCGTTTACGGCGTCTTGCATTCCTATCCATGTTCTTAGACCGGAATACTCAAGAACAGAAAGCAAGACCAACAATCAGAGAGGAAATGACTTAACAGCATCCAAACCGCAGAACAAACGAGAGCAAAAAATAGAATAGATGGAACTAAACAGAAAAGGGCTAAAGGCACGCACCAGAGGTATACAACACAGGCTAAAGTAAATTATCCAAGAAGGAGTTCCAGAACAGCAGGAGAACAATAAAAGGATGCATAGCAGAACGAAAAAGCACAAGGCACAATAGCTAAAAAACCTGAAGCGATTCAAACAAAAGCCGACCAAGAGCACACGCCTCCAAAGCAAAAGGATCACCAAGAGGAACAGGGATGCCGCAGGAAATAGCTACAGGATTAAAAAAAAGATCAAAACTTCAGCATGCACAGAAGAACAGAAACAAGGCAGAAAAACATGGGCAAAAAGTAAGAAGAAGGAAAACAGGTCACAGAAGGCACTAACAAGCATTACAGCAAACAAATAAAGCGCAAAAAGAAAGGACCCGAAAGAAAGCTGAGGAATGAGGGAAAAAATATAAAAGACGAAAAGAAAACGAGGAAAAGACGAAAGAGAAGGGAAAAAACATCTGGAAGCAAAAGAAGCATAAACATGCACAGCATAAGTGCAGGCAACAGGAGACCTCCTTACTACAAAAAAACAGAGCGAAAAAAGATTAAGAATCCCGACGCGGGTTCATGGAAAATGGCAATGCAGCAGCAGGCCAAAAAGCTAACAAAGGTGGCCAACGAAGAGGCGAAAGAAGCTAAAAATCAAGAGAAAAGACAGGTAAATCTCTGGCAGCAAAAGAAACAGGAACATGCAGAACATCAATGCATCATAACAAAGCGGAGAAAGAAAGATTAAGAACACGCACCTGTGGGTTTGGAAGGCGGCAATGCAACAGTAGCCACCTATAAAGCTAAGAACCAGAAACAAAAAGAATATAGGATGAACAGAGGTAAAAGACACAACAAAAAAATTGGAAACCAGAAGGAAGCATGAGGACAGACCAGAGCAAACAGCAAACAAGCGGGAGCAGAAACCAGCAAGCAGGAGGCAGAATGAAGAGAAGCAGCCCAAACGGAACCCAAAAAGGAAAATTGCCCAACAGAAAATCGACGGAATTGTCCAACGGTTACGAGAGATCCTGCCATAGCCGTACAGAGATGAGCTGCTGAACTGTAAAAAATTTAAAGCCTCAGACGGCAGGAATTCGGCGGCAAAGGTAATTTTACATAGATGGACACCACCCCACAAAATATCACCAACGAATACAAAAAAACAAAACAAGTAAAAAAAAGAAACCTTGGTGGGGAAAGCGTAATTTCAGCACTTACCAGCAAGTTGCTGTCCCCAAAAAATGACTAACCGATGACTAATGACTATGACTATGATTAAGACAGCATCACAACTGTCTCGGAGGAAAACGAAAACAAAAGAGACCCATGATTGAACCACCTACCACGAGAAACAAAAAAAAAACAAACCTACATGGCAGCACCACCGGCCAATCCTCAGTTGCCACATGGGCGGACGACCATCCCAGGTGGCAGGGGGCTTCCCCTCTTTATCTATATGTTTAATAAAGAATCACAAGACTTTGCAAAAACTATGAAAAAAAATATAAAAATAAAAAATAACCAGTGTTTACTTGCCATATGTCGCGCCTCATTTTTTTGAAAAAATAATAATAAAAATAAATCTAAGGTATTTAGGTGTTAGAAAAGAGTTCGAGAGTTACGGTTGAAGAAAGTGAAGGCAAAGATTTGATAGAACCAAATTTAAGGCACCCTTTCAATCTAACAAAAGTTAGTTGTGAGATTTAGTCGAAAGATTTATTAATGTAACCTATAAAACTTATCACATTTGGATGTTTCTACATGGATGCAAATCTAGACCTAATGATAGGGTCTAATTTTATCTTTTATTTTATTATTAATTTCCCCTATTACCTGACTTGGTATGGATTAATTAGTAGATTCTACTCACTTTTAGTATTTTGTATTTATTTCAGGGAGTAGAACGAAAATATGATAACAAGTGCCAAATTTGACAGAAAAGATGTCTAAGCCACAGAGCTTATTCCAGGGGTATTGTTGACAAGGAAGAGATTACGCCTATTTTGGTAATTCCGCGAGGGAAGGACAGCTGGAGGGCTTGGTGCTGCTGTTGTGCCGCCGCAATTAAAAAGAAAGGAAGGGAGCTTTTCGTGGGGGGAGCAGCCGCAGTTGTTGATTTTTCCTTCTTAGTCTTTTAGCTAGTTTGTCTTCCTGACGCATGGAGGGTTGCTTAGGAGTTTAGCTTTTGCCTTTGACTTTTCTTATGTAACTTTTGGTCTCCTGCTCCTACCTTCTCCCGTGAATGTGATGATCAAATTGGAAAAGCTCTTGACTTTAATTCCTTTCAATTCTTAGTCATTTTCTCTTCTTCGGATGTCGGACAAAAACAAAGACAATCAGTTGCCTCCTGCGGCTTGTTTTTACAATTGAATAGAACAAATTGATTAGCCCAACTTCCCAGTCGATGGCCGCAGCTCGTGCTTCAATTCCTTGGGGATTTTGTTCATCAAATATGAACTAATCTCCTCCTTCTAGTCAAGGAGCAACGAAGGCTCTGGTTCACCTAAAAATTGTGAGATCGATTTAATTTAATCTTTTTCTTTTATTTATTGGTATTCGCATATTCCCTGGTTACAGTGCTTATGATTGTTTAATTGATTGATTGTCTTGGATCCGGATAATTAGTTAATTTGATAATCTATTGTCAATTGGGACGTTAAATCCGTAATTGTTTAATTGTCTCAAAATAGTAATAACTGGCATGATTGGGTTTGTGTCAGGGGAATACGCGGGCTAATCTAAAATAACCCTGGTAGTGCGTTATTTGGTTAGAATAGGGCTCCTCTAATACGTAAGACAATTGGGGAATTAAATCTTATGGGCGTACCTAAGATTATTTCTCAATTAGAGCAGTGATTAACGGGCGTACCTTAATCATCGACACAGTAAGGAGGGGTTGACTGTCATCGCTTGTTTGGCAGTTATAACCTATTTATTAGTAAATAATTGGGATTGCCTTTGCTTCAATGATCAATTAGGTGCACCATTGCTGAAGTTATTTCTTAGCTAGAACTTTAGTTATCATTCATTTGTGTTTAGTAAATTATTATTTAATTTTTAGTAGTTCCTTGGATTTTATTTGCATTTATTTGATTGTCACTCTCTGCACAAAAACACCCCCTAGTCACTGTGAATTTGAAAAGAAACAGTTACACCCAGTCCCTGTGGATTCGACCCTGCTTACCACTATCTACAGAAATTACTTTTAGTTTGAGCAGGTTTTTATTATTGCACAGGTTTCGACACCTTGTCACCTAATAAATATCGAGAGGGTTAAAATATCTCTTCAAAATTTAATTGGTACAAATCACATTAATTGTGATACCCAAAATTATTCTTAGAAGAAATCACAAATATGCAAAAATTAGACTCGAAGAAAAGAAGAATTATAATATATAAATATACGTGACCTAAAGGAGAGGAATGCAACATAATGGGTGCGAGGGACTAAGATTCGTGACTCAATTTTTCCTTTTATAGAGGAGATACGAGCGTGCTAAGACTAAGAAACCATACTCGTTCATTTCCCATATTTGAAGGGTGACTCTCTTAATCCTAATCAAGCAAATGAACTAACCTATATCTAATTTCCTAAATGGAATGCAAGTCTAAATGTCATGTTTTGCGCACATAGGGGTAAGGGGGATAATATATAGAGGAAATATTATACCAGATGTGAAAAAGATCCTAAAAATGAAAGACATGTATGAAATGCAATGAATGTCATGCAAAGAATATGAATCTATCGTGAAAACAGCCTAAAGGGTTTAGCGTTAGACTAACCCATTTTTACAAGTCTCCACTAGCATTGGACTAGTGAGAAATTGGAAAGAAAGGCCACAACTAGCGTTGGACTAGTGTGGTAACGTCATGCATTTAATATAACTATATAAAGCATAT